CCAAGCACTGGTATTCACCGCCTGTTCGTACTATGCGTGCTGTGGATGTCTGTCTCTGCTGTGATCTCTGCTGTGCACGAGTGCAAGATGATTCACAAAGTTACATTTCGGATTCTACACAAAAATTGCGTAACATAGTAGCTTTAGTATTGCCAACTCAAGGTTTAAGGTTCCTTGCAATGAGTAACCTAACGATCCTTCTAAAATTTACCATATTTGCATATCAGCATATACGAGTGATGAGGGGTCCTGCGACCCAAATTGCGCCATCTGAGCGAGCCTATGCATATATATGTATGTGAAGCTTGCGTCGTTTTCATCTTGCTTTCCGCAGAAGATACTGACTTAAGTAAGATATATTTTGAGAGCTCATTACGCTGCATCAGTTGCAGATTAAGTGTTGCTGATTTCATTGTTTTCACAAAAATCGTGGCCAATTTTAAATAAACTATAAGACAAGTTAATTTGGATGCTCTTTTATATCAATATTTTTTTTGTTTGCATTTATGTTGATATTTTGAATTATTTTTATTTTAAATTGTTTTAGAAAAACATGATTAATATACGAATAAATCCAATTTTATTCTTAAAATACCAACACATTATACAAGGAGAAGATTCTTGGTATGACAAATATATCTAAGTAGCGAATAACCAAAAAATTACATTGATTATTTCAAACAATGATATATAATTCATAAGGTAGGATTTTTTTGTCGAATGTGCCGCGATAATTAATTAGTTTCATTTTATTTTTATTTTATGATTATTATTATTATTTATATAATAATTCAGTTCCATGTTTCAACGTAAGCATAGTAATGAAAAGGCAACAACAAAAAGTTGAGTTAATTTATTAAAATTTGGCAAAGCAAAGGTTAGTCTCACTAAAAAAATAAAAAACTGACAAAAAACTTGGAATTTAAGCATTAAAAGTTTATGCAGCCTTGGCTGCTAGTGGAAAAACACGATTAGTCATCCTTTCTAATTTGACAGACACAAGCTCTAAGCCTGGCACTTGCAGTCCAAGCAAGTTATATACGGACTACAAACTAATTAAAGAACTAGAATATTTCCTAGGACTGGTGATAAGTACTTGGCAATACTCGAAACCGTATTGTGTAGTCAGCGAAATTTTAATACACGGTCTTATCTACTTCATCTTGTAAAGTCGGTATTGCCGAACGGTTTCTTAAATTTAGGGAATATCCCGGAGTCACCCTTAGCTAAATCAGATGAGCAGAATGTTTGGAAAACCTGATTTTTCTATTGATAAACATTTGTCCTATTTAATATAGACTCCATAGGTCTAGGTTTCAAATGTCGATGGACAATTAAATTAAATTTAAAAAGATCAAATTGATCCTTTTATTGCAGTAGTATAGTTTGATTTTTTAGTAGAGTTTGATTTTTTAAAATCATTTAAACGTTAATATTTCCGTTATTCGTATATAATTTTAATATTATAATAGAAATCTCTCATCAAATATAGACAAGATCCTTTTATATCACAATAAGATATTTAAATACAAGTCATTTAACCAATACGGCAATTTTATTTAATGTAGTAAAGTTATAGTAAAGAAGGAAATCTTCATTATTCAGAAAGCATATACATCACTAGAACATAAATGCCCATATCAAAACATTTCAAAGTATTAGTATATGTCAGTGAATATAATAACAACTTTTAAAGGTCAGGCTTTACTCCACGAATGACATTGTAGAACTTCGCATCGTTAAGCATTAACGGAAACACTTTCACTTCTCTTCCATTAATCGTCCAACCAAACTGACTGACGTACTTCTCTAAGTTCTCTAGAAAAATAATCAAAATTTAAAATAAGTAGACATAATAAAAATAACAATCCACACCTTCATCAATATTCAATTTCACTATGAGTTGACTGCAAAGAATTGTTCTGCGGTTTGCCCCAACCATAAAACAGATGTATTTTCTAATGACTTCTTCAAATCCTTCGACCATGGAAATCACTGACACATTCTGTTTACAATGTACCCAGAATTTTGCGTATTCTTCCTGTTCTAAGAAATTTGCCAAATCAATTATCACCCTGATTCCATCATCTATGAATTGAGGCCAGATAAGATACTTTTTAGCCGAAACAAAGTGTTTATATGGGAGCTTAGTCAATGCTCTTAGTAATACGATTCTTGTAAGTTCCAAGTTGATCAGTTTTGGGTATGCATTATACATACGCAGTACATGCATGTTAAGCTTGAAGCAATATTTATTCCCAGTTTGCTCCCTTATCAGCTGCTCGAAGAATGTCAAGTTCTCTGGCCTATACCTAATAAAAGATGAATGTTGGATGAAGTACTCCGATAAATGTTTTACACAAAGTATACTTCTCGTAACGCTCCAATCCTTCTTTCGGAATTGCAGCTCTTATGAGAGCCATTTCAATTTTTGTATAATTTTAGCTTAAAAAAGTTTTATCTGATTTGAAGAGATTGTATATATAACCCTATATTTTCTGTTAAACAAATTTCTTTCAGTTTGTCAATTTTTTCAATATATATATGGCAACTGAGTTAATTTAAAAGAAACAAAATAAAAGTATTTTTTCTGTATTGGACAATTTTTACATATTTTGAATTTATAACGCACGCACTTATTATAAATGTTTTTAATTTACTTACCGACTTAGTTATTTGACAATAAGTAGCCATTATTGAATCTTGGGTTCATGCAGCACTACTCTACAGACAACTGTGTTGCGTGAGAACTCTTCAGTCTCATAAATGTAACGGGGATAGTTCTCCTGCAATACAGTTTTCTTTTGCAATACATATTCTTCCTTTGATTTGAACATCAGAGTTCAGTCACCTTCCCTAGAGTTCAGTCATCATTCATAGCCGTTGCCTATTCTTAAAAGACCAAACAAGTTTTATTCGCACATTCTCAGTGATGTTATATCATTTTGTGATAGCATCTATGCTTATCTACAATTCAAAAGCACAGGTATGATAAATAACCTATAGGGCGTTAGTTCCTCTGGACGAAAGTTAGCTTTACATACCGTGTCTACTGAGTCCATAGTATCGTAAACCATGTTAGCAAATGTAATTCTTCGTCTGATCTGCAACAAATTTTCTTGTTGTAATTCGCTATTGTTCAAAATACTTCTCTATTAAAACATTTAGAATAATTCTATTAAGACTCATGTTTTCTGTCGCCATAATTATCTTTAAAAATTAAGAGTAATATTATTCCAAGGCGGGCATATAAAATTTTAAGGAAGACATTTTCTCCCCAATCAATTCAAATTTGGTGCATTTAATAGCATGACCTGCTCAGAATACGATACAATCGCTTCACAGTCGCTAAAATATTACAATATCATATTAAAATATTACAATTGCGCTGACGAGCTGTACTAGGTTAACCATTTTGTGGCTCCAAAAAACAAATCTAGATAAAATCCACTTTTGAATGAAACTTTAAAAAAACGATTATTTCAATATTGTATATTTTCTAACCCTATTATTTGATGTGAATTACATTATTATATTATTGTTATTGTTAATGTACTAAGTAATTTTCTATGATTTGTCGGTTTATAACTGACAATATACCAGCCATAACTTAACCGATGGTCATTTTCAAAGCATCAAAAGATTGAGGATTGTCCTGATAAACATGATTCTTTGTGCAACCCTACAAATAATGTCCAGTAATATAGGTGTTTTATTCCTATCACTAAACCGAAAAATTTTAGGTTTGTGAAGTTTCTCGGGAGACATAGCTAAAGTAAAGCGATTATATGACTTGTTATTTGTGGCACCGTCATATTGAAACCACACATCTTTTACATACCATACATATCTTCAATTTCACACCGAAAATAATTGGTTGCAGTTGTAAGAATCAACAATTTGTGCCAAACCTTCGTAATTTCAAAAAAGTACTGCCCTATCCAGTTCACATTCCAGACAATGCAAAAGGTGTTAGGTTAGGTTAGACCATAAGGTCCACTGTGACAACCTTAAGAACTTGACATATGTTACTATAACCATTTAGTACTGGATATAAAGCCATTGACACCAGCTAGATAAATAGAATTTAGCTCTCTTATCGAATTGAAAAAGTGAGACTCAGGTAAGAAAGTCTACGTCTTGCGAAAGCAGGGTGATGATGATTCATTTTCGTCATTCTCCATGCTAAAGTCTACAGTGCAAAGAGGCTCTGATATTAAGCATCATGGCATGTTACTTTTGTATATGGTGACATTCACTAAATTTGGTTTTTCTATTGTAATTAAAGTTCTTGTGTTAGCTAAGTTTTATAAAGATGGAGATGGAAACTTAAATGCCATACCTCAAACTCAAGAAAATTAAAAACAAAATAGGAATAGGTCCGTTATAAATAGGTAACGGACCTATTCTGTGCACTTGACAGATTTGTCAAATACTTTAATAAAATTTTTGATTTTTATAAAGGAGAAAGCTTTTTGGTATTCTGGACACATTTTGACAAATTTCAAAGCTCAAGTACCTAGTGCTCTCACCACACTATAGTGTAAAGCGTTTTGTATAGAAAACTGTTCATAATTCTTCGTAACTGTTCGTAAAAAATGCTTGTAAAGAGCACATATTTCAAGTTGCCAAAAGCATTTTTCATGCATTCAAATTACAATAAAAAATATGCTTGTAAAGAGCGTATATTTTAGTTAAGAATATTTATCATGCATGCAAATAATAAAAAATGCTTAAAAAGAGCATATTTTTATAGTTGTCAACAGCATTTGTAGTATTGACAACTAACGAGGAAGAGAGCTTTTTATTTCTGTCACAGAATCACAGAATACCAAAACCTTTACAGCAGTCAATTTTGACAAGTGTCAATGTTTGACAAGTTTATAAAGTGCACAGAATAGGTCCGTAAATCACACAGGACGATAATAATATTGTGTTTAAAATAAATCTAAGATACGAGTATATTCATAATATTTTTGACATTACTAATTTCATTAAAATGCAAACTTTTTAAAAGCTTCGAGTTTGAAAATGTCTGCTCATGAAGTCGGTCATGTCGGTATGTTTAAGTCAATATTAAAGCTGTACTTTGTCGTAATTTCAGAACTCAAAAAAGTTATTTAAAGTGCATTGAGATTACGTATTAACAATGCTTTGCGAGCTATTCCTGTTCACATAAAGGATTCATTCAATTTATATGCAAAATTATATTGATTCCTCTGATTCTATCATTTGTCTGAGATTAGTTTGGCAAAAGAAAATTTAATAACTTAGATTAGAAAGTTTTTATACTCAAGTGTATTGTGCACTTCCTGCTCGCATCAGAGGATGAACAGTAGCAATAAGGCAAAATTGTACATATCGTTTTGAAAGGACACAGTATGTGAGCTGGAATGACGTTGAAATAAGATAACCTATGTGCTCTGCTCGGTTTCATTGCAAAATGTTTTGCATTTCTTATTTTTTATTACTCAACATATTTTGAGAAATAATGCAAGAACCTAATGCATAAAAGTACCAATATTTCAAGAAACTGTAGAAAAGTTCAAAAGTAGAAAAACTTTTGGTTCTAACTTCTACAGAGTATAGGATATCAGGAGTCAGGTTAACAAACTTCTTATTTATTATTTAGTTTAAATGTTAACATTGCATAGATAAGATTTCTTAACTGCAATCTATGAGAAGAAAAACCATTTACTATTTTTTTAATAGCAGAATAAAGCGCAATGGGACTTAATTAAGGATTAATTTTTGTTTAAAATTTGTTTTTTATAAATGATTTATACAGAGTGGCTGACGAAAATTGCAATAAAGGAAAACGCTCTATTTTCTTTCTTTCTTTTTTTGGCTTTAACTTTAAAGAAATTTAAATAGCCTTCAAACGGCCAATGAAGCTATTCCACGCTGCCCGCAAATGGCTTAACGGTATGTTGACCCATTCTCGGCTTAGCGCTTGCTTCAGACAATCGAAATTTTGGTATGTTTTAGTGACAACATTACTTTTTGAAATACCCCAGACCGAGAAATCTAAAGGATTTATATCAGGTATTATATCAGGTCACTTTGTTGATGGAATAACGGAATATTTAAACTATTCTTGATTGAAGCGTGCTTTATGCGACGGTGCTGAGTCCTGCTGGTATGTACAATGCCTGCGATCAAAATGCTCATCTTTCCAAGGCTTTAGTGCACCCTCTAAAATAATATCCCGATAAATCTGGGCGTTTATTTTTACCCAAGGAGAGCGACCATCGGCCGTTATGGCACCCCACACCTTCACCATCACTGGCGCCTGTTTTCTGGTGGCCATTCGAATCATTTCTAATCCAGTTCTTGGGTGTCGGGCAACGCTACCAGTATCATGGTATCGAGTTATGATATGCTTTGTTCACACTTAGGTGTTAGAGGGCTCGACCGATAGCTACTTGTGCTTTTCCAGCCAAATATAAAGCAATCACACTATTACATTTGAACTCCATCATATACAACTTCTTTTCTACAACACAAAAATCAAAATGCCTTCGTACGCTTATTAACAAGACAATGGAATGTCAAATGATTTAATTTTGACTAATAATGACAATTGGTTTGACAGCTAGATCGGTGCGAAGTTTGTTTTTTACAATTTTAAAAATATTTTAAAAATTTATGGGTGACATATTTTGTCATACGCACATATTTTGTACTGAAGACTCCGCACCAGTAAGCAAAGTGGGCAGTAGTATATTCTTCAAAATAGGTTTTTAAATATTATTATAGCAGTTTTTAAGTACAATATGGCACTTTTCGTTTTGCAATAATATTATTTTTCGACAACTTAATATTTGTTACGAATATTTGCACTTACTACTATCGCTTACTACTATTTTAGCAACTTCAAAATATATTCAAAAAAGTGGCCCAAATTTGAAGCACATCATAACATTATTTGGCTAATTTGCTAAAATTTTGAGTTGTAAAAATAACCATAAAAAATTTTATGATTTTAGAAAGGATTAATAATTTCGTGGTTCTGCTTTTATAGCATTGTTTCATTGACATATATCAAGCAAAACTGACAGCTTATACATCTTATGTTTAACACTTAACTTCCCAATTTATTTATTTTTTTTGTGAACTTGACATTCTATATTTTTAATGTGCCTATGTTTAGGATCCCAGAAAAGAGTGGTGTCATCTAACTGGTTTAGCTTGTCAATTGCTTATTTATAGTCTTTAGTTATCTATATTCTTTGATTTTCTGATGAAGGCTTGAAAGGCTTAATTATCTGACTATCAATAAAAATAACTGCACTATTTCAGTTCTTGTTGTGATTTATAAGTAGCCAACATGCTTTCCTAATCGCAAAAAACATTTAGGCTGAAAAACTGTGGCCGCATTAAGTAGCCTAAGAAAGTCGAGGAATAAAATTTCTGCTTCTGCCCCACAGTCTATTTTCAAATCATTTGTAAATTTTGATACTTTCTAGTTTGCTAGGCAGTTTCTGGTTTTCCATTCGT